GAATCCGAAGAAGTTTCAAATTAAGGTACTAATCCTTTTCATGGTATTTATTTATAAGTTGGCATGTTCTTTTTACATTTTGCTTGTTGGGTGTTTGAACTGAATGTTAGGTGTTACACCCTTAGCCTACTAAGATTGATCTCGTTCGAGGACGAATGTTCCCAAGGGGGAGATATTGTAACATCCCACAACAAGAAAGAGCTAGAATTAGAAAGAGTCATTTTTGGAAATAAGAAAATCTGGAAATTTGACAAAAGCTAAGTTAAGAATGAGTTTTGGATCAACTTCAAACGACCATAAATCCTAGCTCATGATGAGTTAGATGTTCTACAAGATACCTTAGGAAATATCTTTGAATTATCTTTCCAACGCCGCTGAGTTAGCTCAGTTTCGAGTTCGTATGAGTGAGATATGTCCATTTGAAGTTGGATTGTGTAGATAAAGAAAGTCAAAACCGGATTTTAGAAGGGTATTGTGGTCCTTTCACCACCCCAAATTAATTAAATTTCAATTTTTTGGTAATTAAGTTGGGGTCTAAACTGATTGGATTCAGTTTATGTTTTTGAAATTAGAGTTAGGGTTTTGAGAGAACAGAAAAGAAGAGGAGAAAAGAGAAGGAAAAGCAAGGAAATCGTCAAGTTCTTGAAGCTAAGATCGTGGATTTCGTCAAGGGGTGAACCTTACGAGGTATGTGAGATCACAAAGCATTGGGTTAGTTCACCTACGGGCCAATCATTATTTATTTCAGTGTATTGTCATTCTTGAGATTAGACAAATTGAGTTCTTGATGAATATTGTTGAAAGTTTCGTTTGAATCTTGATTGATGAGGAGTTATTGATGTAGTTTCATGATATTAGAGGTTGTTTTTTAGTACATATTTTGGTTATGTATTCGAATCTAAGTGTTTGGGGAAAGAACCAATCGAAAACTAGAGGTTTTAGAGTTGAAAAACGACTAAGAAAAATCAGAGATTTCTGGGCAGCGGTCTGGGGCGGTGCACCAGCCAGAGCGCCCCATTTTGTGTTCTGAAATTTTGCCCTTGGAGCGCCATGCCAGCCAGCATGCCCCAACTTCAGCTCTAAAGTTTTGGGTCTGGCACCCCACGCCACTCAGAGCCCCAGGGACGCCAGGTTTTCTACTTCTTCCCACATCTTTCTGTACTAGTTCCCTTGACACGTACCGATGTTTCATAGTTGATTCCTACACTCTAAGGTACGTCTAAACAACATGAAATCATCAATAACATGAGATCATGAGCCTTGAGTCCATAATTCAATTCAAGGAAAGTTAAGAGTCAAGTTAAGAGAAGTTCATAGAGTTTTCCAAAAGTCTTTTTCAAACGTTTTAACTTTGTTTTAGGACTTGAGTTTTGAGTTCAATAAAGAGTAAGTATTGAAGTTCATTTCTTCAAAAGAGTATATCGGGACTATGTATTCCGAAAGAATAAAAATATTTTTCACATTTAAACAAGAAAGGAACCCTTGATTTCCAAAGAGTCTTTGAGCTAGTTTTCAGTAAAGAGTAAATGCTTTCACAATTAACCAAGAGAGAAAACCTTGATTTTCAAGAGAGCCTTTGAGCTAAGTTTTGAGCAATTATCTCAAACTAGAGAGTTATGTTTTTAAACATATTGAGCTAGTATATTTTGGGAGTAGTATTGAGCACCGATATGAGGGAGAGTTTAGACAACTCACAGCCCCCATAAACCATGTAGCCATCATGGGTAGAAAAGGGTCATGCTTTTTAGATGATTCCTTAGTGCTTTTAGCATATCTTAGTGGATCTACTTAGTAGCCAGGTTCTATACCCTCGGCAAGGTATAGAACGGCCCTAACAGCGTGAGGTAAAATGTTGTATCATCACAATAGCTCTTAAGTGATGCTTGTCGGTTATACAAACTCCCACAGAAGTATTTTGTATTCTTATATACATAGATTTAATTGTATTTTTATATACATTCAGAGTTTACATTGTATCATTGCATACATACAAAGTTACTATTGTATTTCTAAATACGCAGAGTTGTTATCCATGTTTTAAAAAGCTTTTCTTTATATTGCACTTATTTATACTGATTTATATTGAAATGAGTTCAGTTCAGTTGAGAACATGTTTGTTCTTCAGTTCCTTTCAAGCTTATGTCTTGTTTTAGAATTCCCCTCGCATGCTCATACATTCAATGTACTGATGTCATTTGGCCTGCACCTTTAATGATGCAGATATAGGTAACCAGGATCACCATCCAGTGCATCGTTGATTCTAGTTGAGCTCCAGAGTTTGTTGGTGAGCCTCCTTGCTTCCGGAGGATCCCCATTTATTGATTTTTAGTATTTAGTTCATTAGGATGTCGTGGGTCTTATCCCGACATCCATCTCAGTTATTAGAGGCTTCATAGATAGAAAGTCAGATGTTAGTTCTTTAGTATTTTCATCTTCTTTCTATTATGTTGAGACTTGAGTTGCCACTTTGGCCAGTGAATGTTATTTTAATACATTATCAGTTATCTTTGAAGTTTCAGTTTACTTTTGAAAGTACAGTTATGTTGAGTTAAGTCTTTCACTGAGTAAGTAAGCCAGACCAAGGGTTCTCTTGGGGCCATCAATGGTTCTCGAGTGCCAATCCAGCCCAGCCCAGCCCAGGGTATAGGCTCGGGGTGTGACAATGATGACTTTTACTCTGATAACTTTAAGATGGTATCATGGGGGGTAATAGAATTTGGTCCCCCACCTAAATATATTGGGGGCATGTGATAAAATTCCTCGATGTAGATGTTGATAGGATGTCTTATTTTGAGTTGAGGGACTACATAAAGAAACTAGGATATACAATACATTGTGCGCTTTTCGTCAAGTAGGATGGGTTATTGGTCCTTGTTGATAATTATAAGGTTATTTTTTACCTTCTAAATATGATAAATGATAGGGATACAATTGAGGTGTATGTTTTTCATGGGGTTAGTGAAGCTAATCAGGCCCCCACTTGAATTGGAGTTTGTCCCCAATGTGAGTGATAGTGGGATAGGTGAGGAATCTTTTAATGAGGCTTCTAACCATAATAATCAGCCTCCTACTTATACTTTTCCTTCCAACCCTACAATTGGTCCTTTTGAAACTTCCAACACTTCATTTGAAGATCAGCCTACTATTGTGCCTCCACCATCTCCTTCTATTGTGCCTCCACCATCTCCTTCTTCCAATGTGTCTCCACCCTCTCCTTCTACTGTGCCTCCTTCTTCCTGTGTACCTTCATCTGATCCTATAATAGATAATGATCCAACTGATGATGAAGTGGAAGATAAATTAGGATCTGAAGGGGATACTAATAAAGATACTGCGGTTGACAGAGATGTCCATCAAGAGTATATAGATATAAGGGAAAGCATGAGGGATTTCAAAAGGTCACAAAGGAGAAGTAGAGGTACTACTTCAGATTAGATTAATGTTGATGAAAAGGGTCCAGATATAGGGTATGATAAAACAAATATTGGTATTAGGGAAAGCTTAGTTGGTAAGCTAGGAGGTGATCAACCTTACTATATAAGTGATGAAGCTCCTAGCTTAGAAATAGATGATGAAACAGGTTGGGGAGATGGTGAAAAGGTTGATCAAGTAGTGCATAAACCTGTTAGAAGGAAGAAAACCCCAAATAGAGTTGTGTTTGATGAAACTTCTGAAAAGGTTGTTTGGGAATTAGGACTGGTTTTTGGAAGTGTTGAAGAATTTAGAATGGCAGTGACAACCTATGCAGTCCAAGAACATATTCAAATTGAAAAATATGTGAATGAGCCTGGCAGAGTTAGAGTGAGATGTTGTAAAGAGACTTGTCCTTGGTTGTTGTGTGCAAGTAAGGATAAAACTAGTGGAGATTTCATAGTTAAAAGATACAACCCTGTACATAAATGTTTGACATCAACTCATAACTATCTTTGCAACTCAAAGTTTTTGGCCACCAAATACAAAGAAAGAATAACTCAACAGCCAAACATCAGCATTCTGGAGTATGGTAAGATTTTTTATTATAAAGATGAGATTTTAAGGAGTAATCCAGGTAGTACTTGTGTAGTGAAGGTTGGAGAAGAAGATGAAACTGGGCAGAATTTTTTTTGAAGGATTTTATGTTTCCTTCAATGCTTTAAAGAAAACATTTTTTGGAGGTGCTAGGAGGTTGATTGGTTTTGATAGGTGTTTTCTCAAAGGTGTGTGTAAAGGCCAGTTGTTAGTGGCAGTTTGTAGATATGAAAACAACCAAATGTTGCCTATTGTTTGGATAGTCGTTGAGGTTGAGAATCAGTTTACCTGGACATGGTTTGTTGAACTAGTGAAGAATGATCTTGATCTTGGAGAAGGCCATCAACTATCTATCATTATTGATATGCAAAAGGTAAGACCTTTATTGTTTTACTGTTTTATTGTGTTTTTTAGTTTTGCATTTTAATTATTCTTTTTCTGTTATGTCGCTTTGTTAGGGACTAGAAATTGTTGTTCAAGATATATTGCCACTGGTTGAACACAAAATATGTGCAAAGACATGTTCTTGCAAATTGGTGTAAAAACTGGAAAGGAATTAAAAGAAGAAGAGTATTTTTGAGGATTGTTAATCCACATTTGAAGTTGAGTTGAAGGATAATATACAGGCAATAAAGAAATTAGGAAAAGAATGTTTGGATGATCTTTTATGGTTCAACTTGGATACATGGTGCAATAAGTATTTTCAAAACTATAGCAAATGTGATGTTGTGGACAACAATATGGCAGAAAGCTTTAATGCTTGGATACTGCCTGCAAGGTATAAAACAATCATCACAATGCTTGAGGAGATAAGGGTGAAGATGATGAAAAGAATTGGTGATTTGAGAGAATTCTCAAACACTTGGATCACTGATATATCTCCTATGTCTTTGAAGATTTTGCAAGAAAATATTGAAAAGTCTATGCAATGTAACTTGACTTGAAATGGAGAAAGAGGTTTTGAGATTAAACACCATGAATTTACATATACTATGGACGTTGTTAGTAGGAGTTGTAGTTGCAGATCCTGGCAGCTCAGGGGCATTCCTTGTCCTCATGGTGTTGCTGCCCTTCATTACAAGGAGTTGGAACCAATCAATTATGTGGCTAGTTGTTATAGCAAGGAAACCTACTTCAACACATATGTCCATTTTATTCAGCCAATGAATAACATGAAAATGTGGCCAACATCAAATAATCCAATTGTAAAGCCACCAAAGATCAAGAAGATGCCTGGAAGACCAAGTAAGGTTAGAAGAAAGGAAGCAAATGAAAGCAGAAAAACTGAAAAGCTTAGCAAAAGAGGTGTTGTTATGACTTGTAGCAAATGTGGTACACAAGGACACAATAAAAGAGGATGTCCTACAAGAAACCAAGCTGGTCCAAGTCAATCAACTGAACCATCTTCTCAGGCAAGAGGTACTGGTCCAAGTCAGTCAGCTGAACCATCTTCTCAGACATAGGTACTTTTATTTGTTACTTTCAAATGTAAGTTATATGTACATGTATATGTATTGATATATCAATATACAAGCTACTGAAAGAGCAACAGAAGGCAACAACAAGGGGTAGTAGTTCAACTCAATCACCTAGAGCTTCTTCACAAGCCACCACAAATAATGAAAGTGGTAGATGAAGAGGCACAAGAACTGCTACAAACACATAGATAATATATCTAATTATTCTATCGTTTATAGACAATATAAATATGATTTAATATTTTGGTTTCAAAGTACAGACTGTAAATGGTAGAAGGAGAGGTAGAGGTAGAGGAGCAGGAACAAGTAGATGAAGAGGAATGCCTCAAGAAAGAAATGTGAATGAAGGACTAGGTAGAGGAAGAGGAATGGCTCAACATAGTCAAACTAGTTCTAAAGCAACTTGCAGTGGAAGAGGCCTAGAAAGAGGGAAGAGACCAGTAGAACATGAGGACACCAGTGGAGGACAAACAAGACCTTTTAAAAGGCTAAGAATGATAGGTGTTGGCATATACCAAGCTGAAGATGGATTTACAACTCTCAAAGTAAGTTTATAATTGTCAATGCAAGCCTAAATGTCTTTTGATTTGAATATGTATTTATAATTTGACTAAGTAGCCTAGATTGCCAAGTAGAAGAGTCATCAATACTGGTACAAGAGTGACAAAGAGGCTAATGTTCACCAGTACGTGGATTCAAATGGAAGGGGAAGACAATTATTACCGGTAGCAACCTAGAAAGAATGAGGGCTGAAAAGGTTATCCAAACTACGTTTGCAGCTACTGCTAATAGCCAAAGCCAAACAAGTTCAAGTAGGAAGACTCTTGTGCCATGGAAGTAGGGCATTTTGATGTTGTCTTGTTCATTTTGACAAAAAAAAAATTAATTATGTATATTTTGGTGCTGTTTTTGGTTGGAATCAAACTCAATTTTGCGTGTAACCAAACAAAACTTGAATGATTATTGCAATGAAGTCCTCTTTTTGATCAGTTTTTTTTTTGCCCTTTCATTTGTAGTTGAACATATTTTTGAAGTTTCTCAAATGGTTACCACAATAATATAGACAACCAAATACATTAACAACTTGTTCAAATCATAATTTATTCGACAACAAAAACCAACAAAAACTTGAGCATTCAACAACTTCCATCATTCAAGTTACACACACCTACAATATGCCAATTTTGGTTGCACACACCTACAACTTTCATCCTTCACATTCTTGGTTAGACTTAAAAAAAAGAAAACACACAATAACGATCAAGACAATAAACTTCAAGTTACAAAATTTGTTCTTCTTTTTCTCCTTCATCACGACTTGGTTACTACACAACTTTCATAGCATGTCAATGCTTCTTCCAACTCCTTAATTCTCTTTTCCAATCTCAAAATAGCATACTCGGATCGTATATCAACATCTTCACGATCCCTCCATCTAAAGAAGTTGCACGCATCCTCCTAAAATACGCCAAAAACAAATTAAAGAAAAATACATAAGCAAAAGATCTCCGGAAAAGAATTAGGAAACATACACGATAGTGTGGACAAGACCAAAATCTTCGAGCTGGATTATGTTCCGACCAAGAAGTTTGCATTGATAGTAAGTCGCCACGTTTGCATCGCAATTTCACTCGCAACATCGGGTCATTCTCATCATTACAAATACGATTCAACATTGCATTTGATATTTTCAGTCAAAACCTAATCACAAAATTAAGAAGAAATTAAATCATAAAAAACTTCAAATTAACGCTTTCTACTGGAAACTAAAAGATAAAACGAATTACTACCTTATTTTCTTGGGGAAGATGATGAATTCGTCAAACAGAGAGCATCAACGTTGATCTTGCTATGACAAAAAAATAGGAAATCGAAAAATTAGGGCTACCAATGGCTATTTTGGGTTTAAATTTGGGGAAGATGATATAAAGTGATTAAATAATTAATAATAAAGAAAGAAAATGACACGTGGCACTTTTAAACTTGTTAATGGCGGTGAAAACACTGCATGACACGCCTCATGTGCGTGGTAACAACTCAGATGAGGAAATGGGTCATTTTGACCCATTTACAAAGATATTAAAAACTTCTGTGGGGTGATAGGACACTGCTAAAGTTAAGGTGTCTTTATGCAAATACGGGACAACTTTAATTGTGACTTTATGTCTTTTCTCTTTAGAAATCAATGTAATTAATATAGGCATAAATTATAAGAAAATTTATATATTATTTAATGCAAAATAAAAAATGAAAATTTAGATCTGTCATTACTTGCTTGGCAAAGATCCATTCTAGGGAATAATAGGCTTAAAAAAGATTATTATTTCTTCAAAATATACCATGAATAAGATCTAACTTAGTTCCAAAGTAATTAACTCTAACATATCTACAAAAGTAAATAAATATACACTTATGGGTTGTTTGGTAGCTATTTAATGTTAAACAAGTATTAATAATGTAGGAATTAATTAAGGAAAAGAACACATGTATTCAAAAAGAGAAACTATTTACAAGTGACAACCCTTTACTTCCATACTCATGTTTTTAACTATTAATAATGTATACCATCAAGGATAAAGAAACAATGACTCAGTGAATAGAACAAAAGCACAGTCGCGTAAATAGTTTGAGCCATTGGTCCAATAAGAGTAAACATATTGGATTGAATCCAATTTGAATAAATACTTTATCTAATAAATAATTTTCCCAACTAATATGTGTAATTCTATGCACTATTTCATGTAAACATTAATTAAGTAAGAATTATTTCATTTTTTATTTTGCATTAAATAATATATAAATTTCCTTATAATTTATATCTATATTAATTACACTGATTTTTAAATAGTCAATAAAACATCATATTAATTTTATACATTAATAACCTATTTCCAATTTATCAATTAAATATCATATAAATTATATAAAAAAATTAATATATGAATAGCTCTCATTCGATTATCAAACGTCCCTTGCAATAATATATTAGTAAAATATACTTTTAACAAAAATATTACTTATTTCATTTATAAATTGGGAAAGGTAATCCACTCCGCAGCCTCAATTCTTCCGTCTCTTCACTCTACAGACCCTCCAAAACCCTTGTCATCCACCGCCGTCCACGGCGGCGTACTCCTCATTTCTCCGTCATCCCCGGCGAACCAGCAATGGCATCTACACCGGTGTCAGAACTCTCCGATGGACCAGTCCTGAGTGTGATCAACAAGCGTCTCCGTGCTCTTCGCAAGAAACACAGCCGCATTCTCCAAATGGAAGAATCCCGCACGAAAGGAAAAACTCTCAACAAGGAACAAGAAGAAACTCTCCGTTCCAAATCCGCTGTTATTGCTGCCATTGATGAGCTCGAGAAGCTTCGTCAACCACTCGCTGCCGCTGTGGTTGAAGAAATCAACCTCTCCACTGAACAACGCCAAGTTTCTCCGGCAGAATTCGCCCTTGATACGGCTATTGATTCAACTAACAAGGGAGAACCTGCACGCGAGGGTGTTTTGGAGGTTGAGGATTTACTTAATCTATTGTACTTTGGTAGTATGTTTGATGTGAAGTCATTGCAGAGTGATTTTACACCTACGATGTTGACGAGGACTATGGAGAGAGCCTGTTGTTTGAGCTACGATTGTATGCCGGATGATGAATCAACGGACGTGATGGATCTGTTAGGGGAGAGAGATTTGGATTTGATTTCGATGCTTAGTGGGTTGCTTGTTTCACGGCCTGTTAACTCTTCCTTGTCACACAAGCACGCTCTTCAGAAATGTATTGAGCATGCAAAGCTATGGCTTTCGAAGTCCGAGCAGCCCATTGAACCCAATTCCGATACTACTTGTGAGTATAATTTTCTTTCTCCCGATAAAAAAACTGTTTTTTACTTTGCCAGGAGTTGATATAGCATATATAAATAGTGTGCCCACTAGTTTGGATCGAGGTTTAGCTGTTGTGGTCATTGTTATCAGGGCATTTGCATTTTTTTTAATTGTCCGGGAATGGATATAGAAGATTCATGTATCTAACCCTAACTAGGTTGTAATGAGGTTTAGCTGCTGTTGTACAAAAAAATGCATTTTTAGCTAGATATGTCAAATTATTGGGGTCTGGGGTGATTATAGCTGGTAATGTCCCAAATTTGCAGATGCCGGGCTGAGATCAAAGCTCGATAAGATCATTGCTTCACTATATTTTACCACAGACCCTGTTAAAGTGGAGGCAGCTGCTGGTAAATATGGGTCTTATTCAGTGCCAGTAGAAGAGCATGTGGAGGCTGTGACTGTTGATGTACCCTTGCAAGTGGACGCCCCAAGTGTGCAGTATGAGCAGAAGGTAAATGCTTATTTAAGTAAAGCGTGTATAGTCTATTTACTATATGTAAGGTCTGAAAACATATTGCAAACTTGTGTGAAATACTGAAATCTGATTGATTGTTGGATGCTCATGGAATTTGCTTGTTTCTATATTTTTATGGCTGAATGGTAAGGTTTAACTCATTGATCATTCTGTTATGTCCATTGTTTGCAGTTGCTGTATAGTTAATGTAATTGTTGAGGTAATGTTAAGGCCCAGTGAAGCTTCTGCTTTGTTCTTGTGATGCACTTAAGAGTTTAGCTGATGTGCGTTCTGGCACCCCAATGGCCCAACCTTAACCAGAGTAGGCTTGTAGTAAATTGTTGGAAATGGGAAAAAATTTGAGTTTGAGAGTTGGTACTTGTAGTGTTTCGTTATATATTAAAAACTCCTTGAAGGTGAAGTCCACTGGAGTCCACGGCTGTGGGGGGTTAGAAGGATTGAGGTTCACATTGTTAAGCTATCCAACAGACAAGTAACGACAAACCTTATTACCTGGCTGTGTGGATAAATCTCAGGAAAATGCTTATATCTAAATGTAAATCTGAAGATAAGAAAGTCAATGGCACAATGTAGTGCTAATAATAGTTCCAATTCAACCTAATAATATTTGAGGGTGGAGTGGG